CCACCCCAAAAAAAAAGAAAAAAAAAATGGTTTTCTCGCTCTATTATCCGTCCAACTTTCTGTTAAAGAAGAGTTGTATTAAAGAAATAATTACCTCTTATTTATTTTGTTTGTAGAAGTGCTGCCGTTAGTCTTGGCCCAGACATTCCCGATCCCGGTGAAACTTCAGAAGGAACAAAATGTGGAGAGAATAAGGTATCTCTTAATTACGTTTCTCGTGAAAGCCGAAAAGATTTTAAGGTAGGGAAATCTCAATTGTCCTAGTATCATAGAAAAGCTGGCGTCACCTAAGGCGATTTAAGATAACTGTTTGCGTTTGTAGTTGCGATCGCGTCGATTTTGGCCCTATTACTTCCCCTAATGCTAAAATGTCCACGTTCAAGTCCGCCATTTTGAAAAGCTGTAATATGAAATCGTCCAGCCTGGTTGGTTGACTCCCGATTTTATCAATCGCTGCGACTGGCTTATTAGATCGTGTAGCGCGTCACGGTCTTCAGTCGATGCACTTGAAGATGAAGAGTTTACCGTGGAAATCAAAATTCATTGAATTATATTCCCTAGTTTGTATTTTAATTAGAGAAAAAAGCATAAGGGTTTTACTCCTTGGAGACCGGGTGACTGGTTTCTCTGTCATTCTCCTTGGAACACTTTGGCTCCTTGGAACACTTTTTGATGCGTATTGTCAAACTAAATCAAACCAATGACAACCACCAATCGTAGACATCCTAAAACGGGAGAGATAACATGTAATTAAGAGCTTTGAAGATGATTGGTTGAGGGATTGACGTGCATTTTCTCGACCAATCTCGCTGCATAGTAAAGCAAACCGATGAAATCCCGTGTTATTTTAAGACTCAATTGAAAACTGTTAGTACTTTTTTTTTTTTACATAATGCTTCATTTTGTCGCCCAGCCATTTATTGGAGGGAAAGAATGATTGACTCAATATTTGGTGATATTCCTTTGTAATACCAAATTCATACGGGTCACGTGGATAAGATGTATAGAAGTCAAGGAGGATAACTGAGTAATTTGAGAACGAATGTAGAAGTGACACATTTAATATATTTTTTACTTAGCTTTGCATTGAGCGAAAATGTGTCAGCATAGACGCGTTAAATGCTAAGAACAAACCGTGTCCAAACAACTGCTCAGGTGAAAATGGGGTGAGTGATTCTGTGTTAGTTATTGCAAATGTCCTTTTTTCGTGTTCATGTTCTTTCCCAATCCAGGTGATCTTGTAGTCTCAGTGAGCGAGACACATTTATCACAGTGCCTCCACCCATCATGAGTATATAGGGATCCGGCAAACTGTTAGGGAAACTTGACAAAATGTTGAGGGTAGCCCTGCTATGGACTGGCATTTCTTTTATGCAGGGAGGGGTAGGGGGTAGCGATACTCCTGGTCACTTCATGCTACTGAAGCTTGGGTAAGCCCCACGAGATGAGCTTTCCTTACCATTTCCTCCACGCTTTTGAGTCAGAAGTTGTCCTCCCCTCCTGCTGTGCGTGTCTGTGTGTGCGTGCGTGCGTGTGCGTGTGCGTGTGTGTGTGTGTGCGTGTATGTGTGTGTGTGTATGTGTGGATTACTTCCTGACAAGGTTCTCTATTTTATACAAACCCTGCAGATTTGTAACAACGAGTCAGAGTGTTTCTGTCTTGGTTGCTGGACAGGAGCAGACTGTAGTGTTTGGGTGGAGTGTAGAACAGAAGGTTAGTGAGTCTAAATGTATAACATGGTCATGATTATGTTACGAGCTCTGTCAGTAGACAAAATAGCGATATATTGTAAAAGTATGTATAGTATAAGTTCCCAGAAAGACTTTAAGGTGTTCTGTCTACCACAGTAACCTTGGAAACATAGATTTTGTAAAGGGTGCTGTGTTCTTCTAACTCTTGTGGTGAATGGAAGACCGCCTACAGGACCTTGTGTTGTGACACTCTCAGCTACATAGTCAGAAATATATCATGATGAAGAATACTAAAACTAAATTTGATATCACTAATACAATTTTGATAACGTAGACTGTGACTGAGCTGCTTGGATAAAAAACATTGTAAGCAAATTGGTTTATTTAAACCATGTTGCAGACTAAAAAATTAAAAGATTATAAACCCTTAATGCTAATTTAAAGCTCTAACCTTGCTGTAACGTTAATGCCTAAATGTGCTGAAACCTAATATTATACGTAGAAGTACCTCACTCTAGACTCTGTTGCTGTCGATGAGAGACTGGTCATTAGTGAATCGGGAACACGAAGGTGCGCCTGGTGTGACAAGAAGAGAAGAGAAACTTTTCTTCCCGTGACAACCTGCACGCTTCGAATAAGTAAAAATCCATTCTCTGTTGACCTTGATATCTCGGAGATCTTTCGTACAAATTTAAGGTATCACTCATATATTGTGACCGACTCTCGTATCTCAATCGAGGTTATAGGCATTTAACTCCTATTCAAATCTGCCTTTCCTCTCATATTCCGGATTGGTCGCAGATCTCTCGAAGGGAAAGAAGCTTGACAAATACTTAAAACTTCAAACGTTTCATTGTAAAACAGAATTGTCTCCTATGCCCACATTTTATCTGTGTGTTTCCTGTTCATAAAACGAGAGGTTTCTTGTGAAAATTAAGATGAATTTGAGATTGATTTGGGTTCCTTATCTGGTAAAGAATGATTCATCGTCGCATATCAGAGTCGACCACGTACCGAAGCTCCGCCGTACGTTAATGCTTGTAACCATGATAAATTAGTTAAAGTAAACATGAAATGTATGAGATAAGGTAAAAGAAGTAAACCTGCTAACGTTATCCTTTACTAATGTCTTATCAGTTGGCACAGCACAAGTCGAGAAACACATTGAAATCCTTACGAACGTGGCCTTTTTTTGTCTTCAGTTCAATGATAATCAATCGCCAAACATTATATCTTTAGCATGCACACAAGTCATAACACCGGTCAAAAAGCAACCATGCCACTTACTTATGGAGCGAAATAATAATTATTAATCAATTTTAATAAGATAATCATAAATGATTAATAATAACTTAGGTCAATTTTGACGGTTTTTAAGTCCGTTAATCTTGAAAAACTCACCAAACGAAGCCTAAAGCTAATAGTAAATAACAAGTGAAGTTTTTGAAAGAGGAATTTGAAGAACTTCCAGGATCTTAGTTAAAATATAGTCAATGGGTGCTCAAATTTGTTAAACACTTTCAACCCTTAAGATATCTATGAATGCATCCAAACATGTAACAATTTTGATGTTGTATCGGTATTTGACCAAACAGCTGCATATGTACTGAAAGCAGCGTAGTAGAATCCTTTTTGATTTAGTATCGCGAAAACGAAACCATAGTTACCAAAACAGCCAATAAGAACAAAGATGAATTTCTAAAGGGCCATTGAGAACGTTTAAACGTTTAAACGTTCTCAAACGTTGATGAACTCGTGATTAAGTTAAGATGGCCAAAAGTTGCGAGTCTGATTGGTTTCAGACCAAACTTATGCAAGAGCTATCCCACATTGTTTTCAAAACTTGATCTAAAATTTCTTTGAGAGAGATATTATTCATGACAAACGAAAAACTAGTTGTAATGAAAAACAAGAAAAAAGAAGTGTTGGCTTGTTTTGTTTGTTGGGACTTGTGTCAATTGGAAACTTTGGTTTACACAAACTTTTGTGCGAAGGTCGTTAAAGCATACATCAAAATCAGTTTGCTACTTTTAACTACCTGAACTTAGAAACTGCAAGAATTTGTTTCTAAAAGCAAAATATGAGTAAAGAACTCGCTAAGTGAACTGGTTTACCTGGTACAGTATTGTTAACAACTTAGCCCAC